AGTTCGGTGCTGCGGTGTGGGCATGCCTGGGCTGCCTTCCGCCGCGGGGGGCGGGGTGGACTGGGCGGCGGTGGACACTGTCACCAACCCGAATGACATCAATCGGCTGTTCCATGAGGCGCTGGCCACCGAGCGGAGCATCGAGGCGGGCCTGGACCAGATGCTGTCCAAGAGGGGTGCGCTTGAAGGGGAGTTCTTGAAGCTGAAGGATCAAGCGGCGGAGGTGGGAGTTTGGCGCAGGGGCGATCGCGCTGGATCGAGTAGGAGGGCAGATTTGGAACCGGGTTGCTGCGCTGTGGGTCGCCTTCTGGCGATCGAGTCTGGAGCGAAGTGGACGCCTCTGTGATGCTTGGGTGGTTTGCCAGCCTGTTTGCAAGATTTGTTGATCGCAGCCTTGCGGGGCTTGCACAGTGGTTTGATGGCTTGATGCGCCACGGCAAATGTTTCAACTTGGTGGGAGACGGTCGCGACAAAAGCTGTTTGTTTGGGCAAATGTTTCAACTTGGTGGGAGACGATCACGACAAAAGCTGTTTGTTTGGGCAAATGTTTCAACTTGTTGGGAGACGGTCGCGACAAAAGCTGTTTGTTTGGACTTCTGCAATCACCGTCATTATCATGCCCGATACAGCCTCGTTGCTCTCGGGCCTGAATGTACATAGTGCATGGTTGTAACAACTTGGCCGTCTTTATCACTGCAATCCCGTCTGCGCCAATAAACACTTACTTTGACAGTGGTCTATCTTTTTCAGCACTGACGAACCGTTTGTGGGCCCCTTAGGTTCTGGAGGTTGCCAGTGCAGATGCTGATCAGCTTCTTGCCAGTGTCCAATCCACCTCAGAGCTTGCCAATCAGATCAGCAGTAAAGTGAGGGAGTTGGACATTGCTCAAACAAGGGTGAAGCACGTGTTGGATGGCATCAATGTTATCATGAGTTGTGGCGGATGCGTGAGGAACTTGCAGAGGGCCACCAGAGAGAACGATTATGAAACTGCAGCACAGAGCATTGAAGAGTTCAGGAAACTGGAGGGAATGATGGCTGGCGAAGGAGCAGACCCTGAGCAGGAAAAGGCAAGATCATCTGTCCTTTGCGCCTAGCATAAAATTGTTCCTGCCAATTGCTTCCTCCCAATCTCATTGTGAAGGCAGCATATGTTGCATGCACGCAATTCTGTCAATATGCTTTTTGGACCATCGATCCTCTGCTGTCACCCCCCACCCGCAGATGTGCACCTTGAAGATGTTAGGACTTGCAGACAACATTGGTAGCGATGAACATCCCTGTGTGTCTCTGTCGTTGATCATGTGGTTTTGTTGTGTTCGTTCTGGTGAGTACTGCCTTGTCGTTTCTGTAGATCGTCACAGAGTGCGCGACAAGCCTTGAGAACACAGTCCGGGCAAAGTTTGATGAAGCTGTGGACAGGAGAGATCACAATGAAGTCTTGCGGTTCTTTAAATTGTTCAAGCCTTTGCAAAGAAAGGTAACAATATGTGCATCAGTTGTCTGTGTCAACGCATCTTGCTTGGCTTGCCCAAGCTGCAAGTTGACATGAACAGTGGACAGCTTGCTTTGCACAATTGTGGTGCAGTTCTGCATCGCGTTCTCTGCAGGAACAACATCTGTAGGATCAGGACCAAAGCATGATTCGTGTGCAGAGTGGCCATGATGAAAAATGTCCCATAACCAGGTTAATTACTTCCGTTACCACCTCAACCAGGTCTTATTGCGATCATTGTGCCTAAAAGCACTGCATTTGCTGCAAACTGCTTTTTGGCATCGTGGTGCTGACACTGTCTTATTTCTGTGGTGCACACCGTTGAAATTCTTTTGTTTGTAGCTTCGTACAGCACATTATCAGGCAACCAGAATGGGGTTTTTGTTGCAAAGAGCAGTGTGGTATACATTGTTCCATCTTCTTCCTCTGTTTCCTTCGTGTTTTCATTGTATGGCAATGGCTTTGTGCCGCATGTGTGTTGCCTATTGTACCAAGAAGAGTGCCACCCTGAGGGTGCCTTCTGCAAAGTGCTTAGCCATATCTTTGTCATGACAGGAGGAAGGTTTACAGCGCTTTTCTGCATACCTGAAGGTGTTGGTCGGGGTGAGGGCAAGGCAAGGCTACCAGGACCTCTCTGATGCACTGGAAGGTCCTAACCCTGATCAAGCTGACTTTGTGGGTTGCTTGACAGCACTGTTCAAGGATGTGGCGGTTGCGGTGGAAGAAAATGAGCAGGTGCCACCCTTTGCTGTAGGATTGTGGCTCTCTTGTGGCTGTCTTTTGTGGAGTGCGCATATTGTCCCGTAATTGAACCCAATGTAAACAGAAAATAACAGAGCACCAAAACAAGAAATGGAAACAGAAAGGAGTAAGAAAGCAGCAGAAAGCGAATGCGAACTTGAGAACGAGAATGATATAATTTTCTTTGTTACCAACTGAGAGTACCCAAGTGCAGAGAGAGCCTGTTGGATTTGCTGGACTACCAGGCAGACTATCACATGTGAGGTCCGCATTAGTGCAGCGTGTCCAGGAGTTGTTCCATGAGGATGCAGGGAATGCAGCAGCCAAGTCAGCCGAAGATACATATCCCATCAATGCAGCTAGCAAGCACACTATAATTCCATGGTTGCTGTTAAATCTCAACTGTGCTGCCTGATAGGACTACTGTGCACATGTCCAAGGTGCCATGTAGCAGAGAAGCATTCTATTTCAGGAGTTCTAAAGCACTGCCAGAGCGAGAAGTGTTTTGGAGTTTCTTCTGCTACAGTTTTGCCACTAGCACATGACAAATATAAGCCCTTGCACCTCACAGGAGATGAAGGAGCAGTGGTGCTCTTTGCTGCTAGGCCCTGTCTCAATACTCTGTGCCTATTCACCAGGCATTTGAGTGTCATGTGTGTCCTTGCATCCAACAGCCATTGTGCAACCTACTGTACTTGTAGTTGTCTAAAGACTACTGTTGTGTACATGGTGGTGGTGAATGCCATACTCTGATATGTGCATGCGAGCTGATACGGAATTATGAAAACGTGTGGTGCAGATTCTGTTCGAGTTCTATGGTGAAAATGCAGTGCTGGACCTCATTGCATCACTGCAGCAGGAGTGTGATGCACAAGGGTCAAGGATAATCCAAAGATTCCTTGAGGCAAAGAAATTGCTGCGCCTGGTGAAAGAAGTAGGATTGAAGAAGAACAAAGACATGGGTGAGACATTTTCAAGTTGCTAAGTTGATTATTTATTGGTGAATCTGCACCAATTCAGAGTTTCGGTGGCTTTGCTGTGTTTGACTTACCCTTTTCTATTTATGCTGAAAGGAGGGCAGGGCATTGGTTGTTTTGGAGCAGTGAATCAAGCAGGTTCTGGATAAGACAAGTGGACTGGGCTACTTCATCTTGAAAAACATCTATGAACAGGCATCCCACTTTACAATGACAAATGTCCAACAGGTCCTAGCTAACCAAATTGAAGCTAAGTGCCAGTGAAAGCATTAGGGCTGCCTGTGGTCACCATTGACTTGCACTTGTAAATGGTGTCGTGTATATGGATCGTGCATCATTTTGCTGCTTGCATACTGGCTGTTCAGCATTGATGGCGGCATCGGCAACTCTGGTCGATCCTCGTGATGTTGAGGGCTATCTGGAGGAGGTTCTGCTTCTTTGCCAGAGAAGTGAGGAGTACAACTTGTTCATGCTCGGGAAAATGGCAGATGCTGTGGCCCCCAAGACCCTGAGTCCTGTGCGAGAAACCAGCTTCAGGGGTGGTCAGTTGAGCGTCAGTGCCAGGGAGCTGACAGGTTACTATGTGACACTGGAAGAATACTACATGGAAGAAAATGTCCGGAAAGCTATTGACATCGATGAGCAGGTATGCGAATCCAAGCACATATCTGTTGTCAAATCGTCGAATTCCCAATGTAACATTTGCAGCTCTTGTCCTTGAGTGTGCATGTCTGTTGCGCATCTGCTGTTCACCACAGGCGCGAGGGTGTCCAATTCCATTGACTCTATCCTAGGGAAAACTTGAGAAGCCCAATCACCAGGCTGGCGATGTTGAGCAACGAGCAAAAGCACAATGCGATGCGTCAAGCAAGTGTATGTGTGTGTATCTTTGTAGTACGGCTGGAGGAGTGGCATTGCTGATTGACTCATTGCACACTTATTGGTGGCTTTACTTGAGGCCCTGAGTCATATTTTGGATGATCTGTTATGGCAGGTGCCAGATGCCCTTACGACGTCCATGGTGGATGATGTGTTCTTCATCCTCAAAAAGTGCTCCACAAGAGCAATGGCAACGGCATCTGTCCAGTGCGTGCTGTCCATTCTTGGCCTCCTGATAACACTCCTTGGTCAAACATTCATGGACGCCCTTCGACAGAAGCTCTCTGGCGCTTCCACAAGATTGGTGGCTGCCATATCTTTCCCACTGCTGGGCGACACTCCACAGGATGAATCTGGCTTGGAGGCAGCTGTGTATTTGAACAATGCTGATGTGGCAGCAAGTTATGCGCTGAAATTGAAGTCTGAGCTTGGCACGTACGCAACAGATGTGTTTAGGCTGGTGAAAGACCGGGATGTGGTTGCTTCAGTTCTTTCAGACATGGCAAAGACATCTGGGGACCTCAGGGCCGTGTGCAATCACTGCCTAGACCAGGTGGCTGATGGGTTGCTGTCACGAGTGAAGCCGACCTTGGATGAGGCCGCTGGTGTGAGCTATGACCTATCAGAGGTGGAGTATGACGCCAACGAGCTGCAAGAGACTTGGGTACAGAGGCTGCTGGCGGAGCTTGAATCTGCCCTCACGCAGCTGCAGCCCAAGTTGACTGCTGACAACCATGGGAATTTGTTGAATCCTGTCCTGGATCGGCTGGCGTCCCGGATTGAGGCGCTGATGATGCGGAAGAAATTCAATCAGCTGGGTGGCTTCCAACTGGACCGGGACGTGCGAGCACTGGTGGGGCGCCTGTCAGAGGTGTGCCAGCGCACTGTGAGGGACAAATTCTCCAGGCTCAGTCAGATGGCCACAGTGCTTGGCTTACAGACTGTGGATGAGATCCTGGACTACTGGGCAGATGACAGCGGTACAGTGACTTGGCGATTGTCCCCAGGCGAAATCAAATCCATCATGAGGTTGAGGCAAGATTTTCAGGACAGCAAGATTGCTGCATTAATGTTGTAGGATCAGTTGGCTCAAACGATCTCCAAACATTCGAATTGAGTGTGTGTGGTGTGTTCCATGTGTTCCATCTGTGTGCTGTCAGTCTAGGTGGTGCAGGACATCGACGTTGAGCCCTGCAAGAATATGCCCAGCATCTTCGGTTGTGAAATTTGCTGATATCATATGGACTTGTGCATAATAAAGCCACTATGTGCGGTGTACTTTGCACATGGAACATTTGTGGCGTCGTGCACATCTTAACAATGGACGGCATGAAAGGAACATCGCCACAGGTGGTGAGTTGCGCTTTACTCCAGGTCCCTTGCTTAAATTTAGTGGGAGTTGTGCTGCAAAGCAACAAACGCTCTCATCCACATTCAACCTCCATCGAGTTTCCCTTGAGCCTCTGTACTGCAGACTGTGGCAGTGATACTCTCAGCGTGTTCTGTCATTGTGAGTCTCTGTGGGGATCCTGTACCATGATGACGCTTGAGTACTGATTTTCCGCAGCAGCATTGCCAGTACAGATCAAGCCAATCCTAACTATTGCTAAGCATGCGACCATGTGCTTGGGCACCAAGTTCAGCTGTTGGGAGGAATTTAGTGCCTTGCACAACAAGAAGAGCATCATTCCCAGTTTCTGCCTCTGCAGATTCCCTGTCGTTGTCTTGCACGGGCCGTTTTGGCAGTTGTATTCTTGTGTTGGCGATGCCAACTTGGCAACTCTATCAGCAACGCCATACGACGGACACTTATCTTAGAGTCGCACATGCTTGCGTTTGAAAAATTGTGCTGCGTGAAAGAAATCTCCGCGTCATTTCCTGCCCGCGTTTCCACAGTGCCTGGCGATGCCCATGGCCCCTCCTGCATCTCCATTCTGCGAATCTGTGTACTGCATTGTAACAGACTAACAACCCTGTACTGTGGATTATGACAATCTACATCCATGATGCCTTGCGTTGACGGGCGAATCATAGCCCACATCGCCCCAAACTTACAATTGCAGCCCCTGTGCGTCTACCATCCCCCATCGCCTTATGCTGTCCTCCCCTCTGTTGGCTGAGCGCGACACTCAAGCCGTTAGGCCTTGCTGCTTAACACTGCTGTGCCTTTAGCTGAACGTAATCCTCCTCCTGTTTCCGTCACTCGGCATTGGCGCTGGTGTCTTGTTGATGGGAGGGAGCTGTTTGTCGGACTGGTAGTCTGGCTTTGGCAGGCGCCCTTTGAGCAGCCTGATGTCTTTGGGCACTTTGATGGTGTCCATGATGGCCCCATCCTCGGATCGCCTCCGCTCGGAGGCGGATCTGGGCATGAGATGCATTTTCTTTGTCACGGCGGGGGACGTCAGGACTTGGTCTATGGTGGGTCTGCACAACAAGTGGACACGGACATCCTTGTTACCAGCCTAGCCAACCAATGCTCAAGGTTGGAATTATGAAGTCACAGTGCACGGCTCATGCCAATGTAGAGATAGCTATATGCGTGTTCATGCAAGACCTGGTGTAAGGAATGGATGGAAGAGCAGCAACAAGAATGCCGTGCATGTTGGAGGCCTTGCTGGATCAGAGCATAGTTTTAAATGTGGACCAAAATATTCGGAATTGCTTGCATTGGCAACTGTGACCACAGAGGATTAGCCAGTTCTTTAGTAATTGCGTTAAGTCTGCCACGACATCCGCAAAGCAGCGCTTCTTTTATGCAGAGCGTCAACAAATTTGTTTTGCTCACCTTTGGGCGGGATTTAGGTCCATCAACGACGAGCAAAGTTTGATGAGGTCGCTGCTGTACTTTCCGGAAGGAATGGGCTGGTAGCGCCCAGCCACCACCTTTGTCTTCAACTCGTTGATGGACTTGGCGTCAAATGGAACCCTGATTTGGCAGTGCCCACGAGTGAGTCGGCCACCGTCACACTATTCGTCGAACTCTGTGCACAACGCCCCTCCTGCAAGGAAGTTTGCTGCCCGCGCAAAGGTCGAATGCTGGCCACACGAGCAACTGCGCTTCTCAGATTTTCGACTCTAACGGAGGAGGAACTCACTAACGACATGATTGTGCAGCTCCCACAAAACACACCTTGTTCTCGAGTTCGATGAAACGGGGACAAGGACATAGAAGGGAAGTCCATGCGCCTGTGAACTCACTTGTACGTCATCATCTCGTACAGCAGGCAGCCGAGAGACCACATGTCGGTTTCGTACGAGTAGGGGCGACTCTTCCAAATCTCTGGGGGCATGTAGTGCGGCGTGCCGATTTGGGTGTGGGCCAGGCCGCCCTTCAGCTTCTTGGCTATCCCCAGGTCTCCCACTTTCACCACATCACTGTCCCCCACGAAGATGTTCATCGGCTTGATGTCGCGGTGAATGATCTTGTTGTTGTGCAGAACCTGCAGGAGAAGACGAATACGCGCCTGTTGTCGCTCTGGTGTTTCGACATCGGTGCGCATCGAAGCTTGCAAACGGTACGGGAATCAACGGGTCTGTCGTTGGGCAGGGCTCTCCGTTCTCAGCCGACCCTTGACGCTCGCCCATTATTCATGGAAGCGCCAACATGCCCAATGTGTGGTCACTCACGACAACAGTATGGACATAGCATCAACTCCAAACAGCCCAGAAAAAACTTTTGCCAAAACATGTTCATGACATACCCCCCACACCCGCCGACTGTCGACACATCTCGGATATTGCCCACCACAACATTGAACACTCGCGCAGGCAAATTTTCTATCAATTTTCTACTTCAGCACTACAAGGTGTCGCGTATTTGGCCAGTGCAATGTCTTTGAGAGCCATCCTCTATGTCCATCCCAGCAGAGGCGCGTCAGGCGGCCGCATCAACGAGAGCTGTCCACTATACTGAGGCTTTTGCCTCCCTTCTTTTGCCTTCCGAGAAAATTACGACTGCACGAAAGCCAGTTCCAGGGAATCGACTCAGATGGCACCGTTCGTTAACGAGGTGGGAAAGCAATTGAGGTACCTGCACGCCCATAAGTATCTGAATGAAGAACTTCCAAATCACGTCCTCCGGGAAAGGCTTCTTGAGCTCACGGCCCTTTTTGATGAATCTGGACAAGTCGCCGTTCGTGGCAAACTCCATGATGATGCACAGCCAGTTGCTGTCGATGAACGCCTCGTGATATCGAACCTGCAATGAGGACCAATCTGCCTCATCAACCAAGTCGAATGCCTGCATGGACAGGCTCAAGCATGACATCCAACAAAAACCCTTCAAGCACCAGATTGATGGTGAAAAGGGCTGCACGGATGAGAGGTATGGGTAAGGAGAGCACGAAAAGGCGGGAAATGACAGACGTATGGTGCCAAAGGCTCACAATGAGTCGACATGCGAAATTGACGTGATGCGTCCAGGGTCGATGTTCGCCGTCCTTGCTGCACGCACCACGTTCATGTGCTTCATTGACGCCAGCAATCTAACTTCGTTGACGGCATCCATCCTCTCCAGCTGAGACATCCTGCTGACATCGGCCTCCTTGAGGGCGTACACCAGGCCGTCGGAAATCCTCTTCACTCGGTAGACAGACCCGTAGCTCCCCTTGCCGAGAAATTTCTGGACCTGGAAATCATTGGACCAGAATTCACTTTTTGCTCCTGTTCCTGGACTGGAAAGCCAAATCTTCAACTGCAGTGCACTACGTCCTGTTCCCTCATAATTGGTGGCACGGTCCAAAAGATGCCCCCAACTCACCTGGAACTTCCGGAACAGCTCTCTTTCTTTGCCATTTGAACCCTTCGGAGGTTCTGACATCTCAGAAGGGGGAACTTTCGTCCTGGACATGCACATGCTCCCTTCAGAGACCCAGTCATGAAGAACTCATCCAGAGTCATGGACTTGATTCCGCGATCAGCTTTGAAGCAGAGACATAAATCATCTCCCGTGCCAAGCCGGCAGCCAACCACCACCAAGATCGCACAGCGCAACAAGGCCTTGGTGGGAGTAGCCGAGGCAACCAGACCAGACTTGGGCTGGCCCGGCTGTCGGTCTCCGCGGCCGATGGTCCCAGCCGTGTTGGGACTTGCGCCCCGACCAGCAGGGGCCATCGCCGGCCACGGAGACGGTCACACTGCCGAGCAGTGCCCAGGACAGGAAAGATCCGTTACGCCGCCGGGTGGCGGGGCGCTCGTTGCGTGCAAGCAGGGATCGCGTCATCGGCAATCTCAGACTCGACGAAAGGAAGGAACCGGTCGATGGCCGCAGAACGATCTCGAACAAACAGCGCCACGCGCTGCCACGGGTAAATCTAGGGGTCCCGTGTTTCGGCGCGGTTGCAGCATCGCCCTTCCTTTCCTCCGATACCAGCCACTCGCCTTCAGCCGAACAATACCCAGACAGCGCACGCCTGTGGTCCTCACCGCGGCGACCTAAGCGTGGCGACCGATTAGCCGGTGAACTTTGCTCCAGCGCCCCTGCGCCATCCCCACATCTGACTCGGCTGACCCGCCCGTCCCTGCCCCACCGTCAGGCTCGGCGGCTTGGGCACAACGCTCCGCCGCGCGCCCCACGCCCAACCAAACACATCACGGCGATAACCTGTTCCCTATGCATTTCGCCCCTGTGCCCGAGCCCCAAAATCCTCAACCCTCTGAGCGCGGGTTTCGGGGATCTCTCAACCTACCCGACCGTTTGCTTGTGCCTTCCTGGACGCTACACTCCGCGCCGATTGGCTTGGGGCAGCCGCCGACGGAGAGCTGCCCTGCTGGGGTGCTGTGAAGGGAGAGGGAGTGGCCGGCGGTGCCCCTCAAGGGCTGGATATGGGCGACGGGGAGCCGAAGCCACGGCGGTAACTGAGCGGGGCAGTTGCGCTTCGACTGCGTCCCCGACATCGGGTACCCCGATATTGGCGATGATCGGGGAGTGAGAACGTGGGCATTCGACAATCGCTTCTTGGCATTAGGAGTTAATGAATTCGCAGACACCGTTTGTGCTTACGTTAGATTTCAATGAACTGATAATAGACAACGCTTTGTTCGGGCAAACTAGGAAGCTGACGGCTACGTCATTGCCTT